TAAGTGCACTTTTCAACTAATACTGCATCCTGTATTCAGTGTAAGATGCCCGTCAATAAAATAAATATCAATGCGAATTTTGTATAGAAATTGATTCCGACTTATCGCGACACGCTGACAAATTTAGACTGAATATAACAATTGATTTATGATTATTTGTCAAGAGCAAAGAAGTAGTTGATCGACAACTTTGTTTGACACACATGGCAACGACAACAAAAACAAGATCCAACAGTCGGGTACAACCGACTGCGTAATACTCGTTCACAAATAGCTTAAACTATGCTACGTGATATTTAGAAAAGCCACCGATTTATTGCGATTGATCTTGAGAAGTTCTCATTAGAAATCTTTAAATATGATTATCTTATCTCTACGAATTTTGGATCGTTTATATAAGAGGTCATCAGAAGTCTGCTTTATTATATTATATTATACATACAGATTCCATAATAATGTCGAACAACTTGCACAAAACCAATATACTCTTTTACATCTAGTTACCGGGTATAAAAACATCGCCCAGTTAAATAAAGAGAATATGAAGATTCATTTATATATTTTCCACTACGAATTTCAATTAATAAAACAGTCCTAATTAAATTAAATGTCAACACTTAGCCAGCTAAGGCACACATACGTATGTATGCGTGTATATAATACTGGCAAGCATTACCCGGCTTAGCCCGGTTGAAAATGTACGAAAATGAATGGCGCTACTAACTGATGGCAGACTTTTTGTTGCTTAACTTACAGCTCAAAACTGAAGTTTTAATTGTAGTTATCTTAGAAAAATTTCGTTTGGAACTGTGGAAAGAAGTTGGGGTTCAAAGTCATTTCCAATCCATTCCGAATGTCGGAAAATGCGCGGAAAACAGGAGTATGCAATTATCATTTATTATCGGCTGCAAGCTTAATTTCAAATATCCCTGCGATATTAACACTTTTCAAGAATCTATGTAAAAAGATTTCAAACGTGTTTCATCGGTTGCGGAATATCCACTGAGCTGAGTGGAAATGGAAAAGAAAAACCTTCCGACTGTCGGCAAATGAATGGAAAAGTGATTCCAAAACTTAAGAAAAAAAACTTTGCCCGAGCAAAGCCCGTTAATACCGGCTAGCATAATAAACTTGAATGTATATAGAGCGTAGATTAAGTAGACATTTAGATTACGGCTATTATCAGCATCCACTTGATTGTTGTGTATTTGCTTTTGCAATTTCAATGGTTGTTTAAAACTCTAAAAGTTTTCCATGTGCTCTATAAATCCAAGCCTCAAAGGCCACAACAACGTCGTACGCACCGGGCCATTGGACGTATTGGGGCCACACAAACAACAACCAACACCCAACACCAGCTGCAGCTGCATCTATACGTTATCCAAGTCGACAGATACAGATACAGATACAGATACAGACACGGACTGCACTTTTACAGCTTCGCTTCAATTGCCCTGGAACTGTCGGTGGCCGCTTTGGCAGATGCACTTGAGAGTTGGCCCCACAGCATCGCAGATTCTCAGTGCTCGGCTCCAATTACATTCAATTACAATTACAATTGCAATTACAAAGAGCGACAGAGAGAGAGAGAGAGAGAGAGAGAGAGAGAAGGGGAGTCGAAATGGCAATGGGCACGCCGAGCTATTTTTGGAGTGACGAACTCCAAGTGGACCTAATTGAAGAGTCGCTATTTATTTTCGCAATAGGAACCAGACCTACAAGGGAAGTTCCGACAAATAGGGCTTAATTAAGTCAAGCTACACGGTAAAAAATGTTCTTGAAAGTTTTAACAGAGTTTAGTGTTGATAAAAAATATTTAGCCGTCCTCTGGCAAGCAATTTGTAGGGGCTGAAAGGATGCAGTACACATTTATCCACGTGGATAAATTAAGATCCAATAAAAACCAATATACTCTTTTCCACTTAGCAAAGTCGCGTATGATTTCAGAGCTTGGTACAATTATTTGTAATTTGTTTTATATATTTTATATATTTAAAAATTGTCTATTGTCGAACAATATAAACCACAAGCTTGATAAGTCGATAATTAATTAAACAATGCGACACGAACTGCAAACAATCCGGATCTATCAAATTGCCAAAGCTTTGTTATTGTTGTCAATAAGAAGCAAGAAGAAAGCCAATCTGCCAGATGGCGAATACGTCATACCCTCGCAGGTCTATTGCATTATTTATATTATAAGTTTCATTAACATTAACCTTTTTAAATTACACTGATAACTATGGCCGGCCTTCGGCATAAATAACTCTACATCCAGTTATTCGCTCGTGATTTGAACCCGGATCCTCCTTACCCGAAAGACTGAGTCACTCGGACAGTCATCTACCGAGTATTGTACTATTATTTTATTTCATATATTTTATCTACGGAGATCGTATCTTTTAACCTAGGCCAAGTATCTACCAAGAACCACGAACCTGTAGACTGATAATGGGTTTAAAATCTTCAATTCGACTCGGTTTTCGATCAATTTTTATAAGCAAGAAATTACCTTTTAAAGGGATTAAGTGAAATCATTTTTAAGGTAGGAAAAATTTAAGAAATTGTAGTTATAGACGCGGTACCGACAATTAAATACCCTAGTGTCACAATGCACAAGATACAATTTTGTCTTAGCCAAACAGTTTTCTTTTTCATATAACTATATTTTTTGGGCCATATTGTTTTGGCACCTACATGAAAGTGTAGATAAGTGTAGCCAATATATTTAAAGAACAAATAACATTATAAGTACCACCTAGATCTGAAAGGTAGAGTTAAGTTCTAATAATACAAAGACCAAGGCTGAAAACCGGTTTTTAACCGGTTCGAGCTGGAATGTAAAGGGCAGGCAGTTGGTTTTGGGTTTGCAGCCTCGATTTAAACTGAAAAGCTAAGAAGATAGACGCACAAACATATATATATATATACTCAGCCAGCTCGGTCTGATCAAGAATATGTAATCAGAAGAATATAGCAAATGAGAGACTAGTTCGTATAAAAAGTGTATAGACTTGTCGCTGTTATCGATCCCTACCTAAAACAGACTTCTTAACAGAATGTTAATAACCCCCAAGTGAGAGTATAAAACGTTAAGCCAAATTGACGTGGAAATTAAAACAGCATGAAATTGCAAACATATTTATGAATGTTGTGGTTATCACAATAAAGTTGTGGCAATTAGGTAAATGTATATGACGTATGCCTGTAACAGGCAGCAGGGGAGGGGATAGAGGAGGGGCGCGCTTACTCAGGGCCAGGCCAGTAAAGTGCAATGACCAATAAGGTAAATGAAAACAGTCACAACAACAAGAACAATAAGAACAACAATAACAGACAAGGAAATATTTGTTTAAAAGTTATGAATTCCGTTTTAAAGCTTAAAGCTCCTCAACAGTTCAGCTCGAGTCAGTGGAAGGGAAGGGAAGGGCCTGTAGTTTAATCGTCAATTGCGTCTCAACAAAAGAAACAACAATAACAGTAACAGCAGCAACAACAATAACAGTAACAGCAGCAACAACAATCACTGCAATCTGCACGCTAAATGTTAAGGTAAACATTGGGCGGAAAGCGAAAAGAAGTGTGCAAAGAGCGGAAAAAAGCGTCGAGAATGACGTCGACGCAACGCAACGCGACGCGTCGCGACGCAGCTTTTGGGATTGCGCTTTTACGGTGTTTGAGCAATAAAACATATCAAATTTAGAGTAAGTTTTGCGCAATTTCGGCTAAAAGCTCTGAGCAATCAAATAAGGAAAGATTTAAGTTATCATCAGCAGTCTTATTGCTTTATTCCCAAAAAAGCGAGTACAATAAATTCTCTTTTTTACAGTAAACAGAGATCCATTCTAGAATTTTAAATAACGCATAAGCCCAAAAAATAAGTATTATCTTTGAAAAAAAAGTATGCAGAAAGTATCTTTGCATGTTTCTAGTAATGAGGGATTTAAATTTATTCATCAGTATTTAAATATTGTTTTTATTGCAACCGTTTACGAGTTTGTCCTATATGACTATTATAACTGGAATTAAAAGTCATAATAGGTAATGTCCGTTAAGTCAACTGGTGATACAAAAAGAAAATGCCACAATTGCTGCAGTTTCTGATGTCCTGATACCCAGATATACAATTTCTCAGTCGTAATTTGATAGCGCCTTTCGAACCTGGGTAATAATTATGAAAAGTGGGGTGAACAACTTGTGTAACTGCAGCATAATCTTCAAAATATCCGCATAACTTCAAAATGGAAAGGAACCCCACACATTTTAAATGTTAAAGAAGAATCTACCTCGAACGTTGAAAATATATCCTTGAGTGTTAAGATTTAAGATAAAGTTAAGGTTTTTGGGACATGCCCCGTAAACCACTAACATCTCTATTGCTCAAAGTTTCGGAGATAAAGTAATTGGATTTAGGAAAAGATAATTTTGTGGACAGCTTTAAATTCTGTCTGCAGTCACTAATTAAATACCTAAGTAACAAAGTGTCCTCAACGGATATTAAAGTTTGATAGAGTATATCCATTCGGTCACGGCCGACTGCAATGGTTTTGTTTAATTTTTTTGTCGTATGCTTAATTTCTCGGACTTTCCTCTCCCAGCACTCGCAAATCGATAAAAACAATTTTCTAGCTACAGAAGTCACAGCACGTGCATGCGGTACAAAAGGTACGTACAATACGTACCTACGTACGTACTTGCATACTTATGCATATACATACATATGTGTGAATATATCTGCATATTGATGTATCAATTCGTGCAAAATAATAGATTTGGGCATTGCAGACATAAGAGAGAGAGAGAGAGAGAGGGAGAGAAATGCTTTCTTGTGCACCAAACTTGCAGTTCCAGACATTTGGGCAAAGTGCGCCTCGCGTATTCGAATTTTTTACGAACGCCGATAATAATTTGCACCTACACACATACATACATTTGTATGTATTTACTCAGGCTATAATTAAACACTTTTGTGGAGTACCATTGTTTCGATAGCCACTTACCTTGCCAGTCTTATCAAGGCCATTGTGCTAAATTTTTGGTCCAATTTATAATACAAAACGGTTGCGGTTGAGTTGTAAAATATTCAACTTGTATGCGAAAAAATTCGATTTGTTATTTTGGCAGTGCGAATAACGGCATTGGGCAAGGGCAAGGAAGCGCCGAAGGTGGACCGGCAAATTTTCTTTTGTTGTCTGCGCTGCCGCAGCACAGAGTCACGCACACATAAACACTAAGCACAGCACAACACAACACAACACACACACACATGCAGGCGGCGCACGGCCGGCACGTAATAAAAGGAGAAGAATATCAAAAGCGACAACAAGAACAATTGCGCGCGCACACGAACTTCAGTCAATTTTCAATCGTCCGGCTACAACGAAGATCTGAGTCTGCCGCCCGGCACAAGTGGATAAAAACAAACTGTCGACAACGACAGCGACGACGGAGACAGCGGCAGCAGCAGAAACATATGAGCGAACACAAAAGTGTGACCAGCTACAAGAGCTGTGAAAAAGAATGCAATGCATTGAATATAATATTTCTTGTGTAATATGTCTACAAACTCTTAAATATATCAGATAATCGCTTTAATTCAACATGGTTATTGCTTTTTAATAATTTTGTACTACTTCTTAAATGTGCAACAGTTTAGTATTTTTTCAAATGTTAACTTACAGTAGAGTTAGTCTGGCAACGCTGACTACCAATGCCGCCATCTTGTGCGCGGTTGTCATTTGAAATAGAATTTCAAATCATGACACTTGGAGCAATACAGTCAGATAATTCAAGTCTGTTTTACTTTTTTCTTGGCTACAATTGAAAGTCGTAGTTTGTATTGAATATTTTGTACAATTGTGTAGCTGCCACGATGTGGGAGGAACTGGAAAAATATCGCAATCATTTTCTGCAACACGAAATTAAAGATGTCCTGAAGCCTAGTTCCATCAACTGTCAACAGAACATGGGTAAGCTGTCTCCACGCCGCACGGCTGGCTATACAAATTGATCAATCGTTGTACAGAATGGGACAAATTGATGAAGAATCGTGACTGGTGCAAGCGATATCCACAGCGCTGCGCAGGCAGCTCCACCTACTTTGCGGATCGTGCCCAGCTGGCCTACGGCTGGTTCGCGTTGCCCAAACTGATGAAGGAGATCGACAGCGATGTTAATTTGACTCATTGGCGCGCTATTGTCTCACTGTCGGAGTTTCTGCTCAATCCACTCAATGCCCAGCGTGCCATACTCGAGATGGACTTGGTGCGAAAGTGAGGAGCGCGTAAACCCTTGTGTTTCTTCTGCTCAATTTCAATCTATGTTCCTTGCAGGGTAAAGAACGCATTCATGCGCATGCGATTGCAATTTCATGAGCAGCACTACGAAGAAGTCGAGACATATTTAAAGATATTTAGTAAGTAGCTGTGCACCCAATCTCTCTCCCCAACCACATCTGCTCTACTTTACCCATTCCCGTTCCGGCAGACATACTCTCCCGCAATTTGAATGGCGCTGAGCATATCGCCAATCGGAAATGTTTAATGATTGAGTTCTATAAAATTATTACGGACAAGGAGCCCCGCAAGGAAGATCTAGCTGCCGAGATTCTGCGCAATCTGACCGGCAAGCCGAAGGGTAAGCGCGTCAGTCGGAGAATTCCATTTAGCTACTTATATGCTCTTCCATTTAGTGCTTGGCATTGTAATGGCCGATGCCGAGAACTTGGCGTCAGTGGCAAACATCTTTAAGCTGGATCCTTGCCAGCCGTTGTATCCGCCCCATCTGTGGCATCATCTCTGCCACATGCTGGAGGTGGCGCCCGAGCAGGGCATCGAGCTGGGCTTGTTTGAGCTGCTGCACTCGCGGATAAGGAATCGCCTGGCATACTTTTGGGACATGAACTGCAAGGCCTTCGCCCTGCTGCTGCGCTGCGCGGCGGGTCAGCGTCTGTTCGATGAGGTGGATGGCGTCAAGCTGATCTACGACGTGTTCGAGGATGTGTATATGAGGCGCTCCAAGAAGCTGCACTTCCAGCACGTCGAGAGCTATGAGTACATTGTCCTGGCCCTGCTCAACGGACTGCACAGCAAGCGTGCCCTCTGGCGTAGCCGCGAGTTCACCATGCTCACCTGCCACGTGGGCCGACGCATGGCCTCCAAAACGAATCCGCGCCTGCAGCTCTACTGCCTGAAGGCGCTCCGGGCGCTGGGCGTAATGCCGTGCACCAAGCGCTACATTATCGGCAACTGGCTGGACGAGGTCCGCGAGCTGGACTGCCTCGATGCGGAGGCGGAGTGCGCCCGGGACGCGCTGCTCGATTGGCTGCGTCGCGACATTGCCGACAGCAGCAGCTGAGCGAGTCCATATATTTCATTTATTCTTTCAATATATTTTCGATTGTAATTTTGCCCAATTACATTTGTTCAAATTGTCTTGTGAGCGCACTTTACGCTTTTATGACTGCACCCCTCCGTTTCCCCAGCATTTCAGACAGCCGCTATTCTTAGCGGTTAACCGTTTCAATGTCCCCTGTGAGCTGTCCCAAGTCCCAAGTAACGTCCCAAAAAGTCCCAAGTAACGTCCCAAAGTTCATTTAGACGAGAGAAAAGCGGTTATAAAGCTCTCTCTCTCTCTCTCTCAGTGCCAGCTGTTTTCCTCAGCATTCTTAACAAATTAATTGAACAATATATAAAATAATAGTTTGGACAAATGTTGACAGTAAAAAATATATATAATATTTTTTATATATGTATATATAATAATTTTCAATTAAGCTCGGAGTGAGTTAAGGTAATATATATAAAAACAATGCTCTCAGGGCCAAAAGAATATGTAAACTAAAACATTTCCTGGGTGAATGGGTAAAAAGTGTATCATAGTTTTTTGTATATGAATGAAGGTGTCGATCTCAGGATCTGTAAGAGCTAGAGACTCGAAATGAAGTCCTCTGGAGCGTAGGTATTTCTATTGCCCGACTAGCTTGAATTAGCTTCCGATCATCGATAACTTGCCCCGTTTCCAAACATTTTCTTATATATTCTTTTAAAAGAGTTCCCATATTCGAAATGTAGTTTCTCGTAAAGTATATATCTTTGATCAAGCGAGCGCGAACTGATTCTGACAAAAAATACGTTTTATTAAAACAGTTTAGAATTCTTAAAGCTACAAATTTATGCACATAATAATATATATAATTTTTTTTTCTTCCTGTTCAGAAATTACTTAGAAAATATGAGAATGTTGGACAAGAAGATTTTCTAAAACTAAGAAAGATTAAAAAAATTTTTTTATTTGGCGATTTTAGAAAATAAAGCTAATTTTTTAAATAAACAGATCTTTTTTTTGTCTTAAAGAAGTCGAAAAGGAATAACGGATTTCTTAGATTTGGAATAATAAGCGAGTAGAGGTTGCCGGTTCAAACTCAGTAGCAATTGTCTAGTTATATGTTTGATTTTCTCTTTTTGTATTATTATTATATATATTAACTGAAAACAAAAATTAGATATGAAAAACGATAAAATACTATATAATAAAAGGGTTTTGTGAAAATAAATGTTTTTATTTAAGGTTAAATATGCATTTTTATAATAAATAGAAAACAGGAAAATTGAGATTAATTTTCCGTCCCAAATATTAATGTAAATATTACTCCTTCGTTATAGACATAGATTAAATGCACAGCAAGATATCCGAATATATAATAATATCGCATTTTATTTATAGTATATATGTATATCAATTTATTTGCAAGACCTTCTAGAACTTTAACTGCTTATTCTTAAATTAAAGGAGAAGCATCAAAGAACTTTTCCAATTTCCGCTTCTCTTGGCCGGCAGCTTCGTGTCGCCAATGGCATCAATAATGACCAGCGACATTACCAGGACCCGACCAGGACGACAACAACAACAACAACAGAAGGAACTACAACTACAAGAGAGTAGAATCCTGAACCAAACCACAACCCGGCCGCAGTTTGGTGGTGTCTGCGGTTGCCAAGCCTCCAATGTTTTATGCATCTACATATTTTTATATTTTTATGTTTTTTTTTTGTTGTTGCAACTTTTCATTTTTTTTTGCGTTTCATTTTTGTGTGGTGACAAACTTGGCAACGAGTTGCAATTTTTAAATTTATTTGCAGCGACAGCCCGTAAACATTTTGAGCCAGCCCCGTTGCTTGGAACCCGAGCCCAAGACCAATTCCCGGCCCAATCGCAAAGTTTTGCTCGCTGTCATCGCTCCGTGGTTGGTCCTCCGAGCTCTCAACGATTCCCAGGTCGGACTAGGGATTCCTTTTTTTTAATTACCACATCTTTTCGGTCTGCTCTTCGACTTGCTTGTTACCCGAATGCATATTTTCATCAAGCTGTAACTTTTCGCCACTTAAATTAATTACATAAAAAATTATGCATCCAAAGCGAGACAGTCAACATTTTCAAGGTTCACCCAAACTTTGCCCACTGGACAAATTTATATTCCAGCTCACAAACACAAAAAGATTACTATTTGAGATTCGCTTGTATGGCTGGCTCACAGATTCCATTAGCAATAACAATTTTAGGCCATCAATATTGACATTGCTTTCCAAATATCTTTATTAAACTAAGTACATATACAGTTCCAAAAGAAGAGGGCAAGGCAGCTTGAAAGCATCTCTGATGCCAAATATATATATTTATTTAGACCAATCTGTCTATCTTTATGAATGCATCAGTTCAGAGCTGTAGAAAGTTTTATCAACGAAAAATTTAAAAAAAAATTAAAATTAATCAATGATTTATAAGCATTTTATCCACGAGATTCTATGAATATTTTATATTATATATATATTTCCAGTCGGAGGTGCACGCAAATATGTATAATAAGTATATTAAAAAAAAAAGATCTCGTTTTTATTTTAATAAGCATTTTAAGCCTCGAGATTTTACGAATATTTTATATTTTATATGTATTTTTAGCAAATATGTATACAAATTATATTTAAAAAAAAAGATTTTGTTTTTATTTTTAGGATCTGAAATCGATGTTTGTATGTATATTTAAAGAAGTAGCAGGACGATTGTTATATATTATATATTATTATTATATAAATTACTAGCGGGTATAACCCAGCCTTGCCCGTGGCAAAAAAAATAAAAAAAAAATTCCATTTTCCTAAAAGTGTGAAACATCACTCAAATGAATTTGAACAAAGATCTTTGAAAATAAGTTTGAGGCCGATCGGATGGCAAACAAAAAAGTTACATACAAACGTTTCCACACTTGCGGGTGGATTTCCCGAAACCCCGTCTTAACGTGCACCTACATCACATAAGGTAACTACAGTGAAAATTTCAGCTTCCCAGCTCTTACGGTTTGGACTGTGCGTTAATCACCAATCAGTCAGTCAG